GGTCCCAAAATAGAATGGGCCACCGCTTCCTTTCCCATGGGTGTTGTAAAAGCCGACAAAGGGAGGACGAGGAATGGGCTAATCTACCTGCCAAGCATGGCAACTACTGGCAAAACTTAGCAGCTGAAAAACAAATGAGACACAGACACCTAGGTAGATATGTTTTGTACAATGTTCGTCTAATTAATAAAATACCAGAGGGAGACCAAAGATTAATAAAATACAAAAGTCGTTTGCTTGTACACCTCTGTCCCAGTCATGTTTCTACCGTGAACCAGTTGTGTTTGCATGACTATGTTTGGTTTGAAGGGTGGAATATGGCAATGAATTTACAGGGTACAAGAAATAACACCTAAGTCCTCAGGAATAACAACGAATGGGGGGTATCTTGGACGAAACAGAATACTCTGTTATATTCATGGTACTGCTCATATCTATAGGCGACGATTACCACTTTCTATCAGGTGGGCCGTCAGCTTGTTTACAATTCTAAGTTGCATAAAAAACAGATATTGCCCTCTGATTATTGTATAAAATTCCCTATAAAATAGACTCATTTAAATAGTTAAAACCAGCTTATGAATGTTCACTTTCGCACTTGACGCTCAATGTCATAAAGATGCGACGCACTTGGTCTTGAGAACCTGTCCCTGAGTAAAAGTGAAAGCTTTCGAAGTTCAAGACGCGGGCGTGTTGTGCGCGTGGCGATTTTTTGTGTCCGTGCACGCAACTCTTTAATTGACAGCTGATCGTAATCAAATGATTAATACTGTGTCGTCTGTTTAAGAACTTGCCCCCGATTGATGTAGGTGATTTAATTTCTACCCTATTCCGAATATTTTTGAGTATAATATTATACTGAATTTTGTTGGCCACAAAACACCACACCATATTAGCTGTTAACTGTCCACTGCTAAATAAAGGCTTCCAACTATTATTCGGGAATCCGATCCGCGATCATATCAAGATAAAGTGATGTGTTAAATTGCCAAAACACAAAGGTCATCAAATGCGATACTGTGAGAGTTATCGGATCGACAACCCATTTAAAATGAAATCTTTTTAATGAAATAAAGCTTTGGCCCCATTCTATGAAAACCAAATAGTCACATATATTCACACAGTATTTCCGAACCGATACGACAACATAACCTTCAAGAAAAGAGCATATTCCTTTTTAAAAGGCCGGCAGCACACCTGCAATGCCGTAGATGTTGTGGGTGACCATGAGCGGCGGTAGTCACTTACCATCAGGTGAGCCGCACGCTCGTTTGCCCCCTGTGTTGTAAAAAAAAATCTAAGTAATGTGTGTTAAATGGCAAGCACGTAGCAAGAAAAGACCTAAACACTCTAGAATCACGTGAAAGCATTGGTTAAGAAGGAGATTGCATCGACCAGTTTTAACTGAGATCAGAATCTTACCATATAGAAGTATTACTAATGGAAGTCCCTTCTATGAACCCTTTATACATATCTGTTGAGGAATAACAGGAGATATCTGGAGGGAAAGGGATTAATAGTAATGAAGTCTCTCAACCTCACTACTAGTAATATATCCTAATACATTAAACTCCACGCGGTTCTCTCTGAAAATCATAGTGGTCAATTCTTGTTGAATTCATCACGACGAGCTAGCTGCCTTGCTTTCATTCTCATCTATCATTTCTTATTGGTGTCCCGCCAGCGAATACAAGCAAGGTCACCGCTCCATTTTCACGTATTAAAAAAAAAATGTAGATATCATCACTGTCATTACTATTCGTATGAAGATGACAGTTAGCACCTTCTAATGTTAAGACTTTCTAGGCTAACTCTGTTATATATGTAGGCCTCCAATATGATTTACCGGTCAACAACTTTACATGCTCGAAGTACAATGTAAAAGAATAATTCCAAAATGGTCTAAACATTAATTCAGAATCAGATCGTCATAGCTTTTTTTTTATGGAACTTAAAATGGCAATCCTGTAAGAAAATGGTAACCATCGCCTATAGACATAACAGTGTATACTGTGTCACCCATAATACCCTACAAGCATTACCATTCCTGAAGACTAAGGTGTTATACCTCTTTAATTTCATTCTCTATAATTTTATTGTCATACCCCATCCTTCAAACTGAAACAGCCATACAAACACAATTGCTTCATGGCAGAAACTCGAATCAGACAGAAGTACCCAAGCAAACGGCTTTTGTATAAAGTCTCTCTCTGTGGTCTCTGGTTTAAAGCTAAATTTCGATCTTAGAGCTTCTAATCCTCAGTCTAGACTTGTCTAATTGACCTATACTATCTATCAATTTACTAAAATGTTGCTATGTTTATATTATATAAAATTATTAAATTCTTTTAACTGTTTATTCATTTTATGGCCATGACTCTTACAACAGGGTCGAAATATCATCACGCTCAATTAATAGTCGTGGTAAAAATGTGCCAGTTATGCATATTAAGTGTTGCGTATGTTTTCAACATCTGTGTATGTAAACAGATTGCCAATATTTATACAACTGAGATTTGCCTAATAATATCATTTTAGTCATTCTTTGATCAATACCGAACATAAATCTTCACAAGATTACAACTAGACAACGATAATAAACCATTCGTATTTATAACAGTTTCTAGTGTTTTTTTTTTTGTATTTGTCTTTAAAAGGCCTCCAATAAAACAAAAATAAAAGTAATACAAATTAAAAGTACTATGAAAATATTACTTTTTATTTTCGAAATATTAAAACTAGTAACTTATTTAGAAAACTCACATATTTAACATATTAAGTATGTATTTTATTTTTGTTATTCGGTAAAAACAAATATGTAAATCTACAAGCAATATTTTTTTACACTCACATTGCACCGTGTATAATCTCCCTTAATTGAATAACTGGACGCATCAATAGCACTTGCTGTACCGTTTCGAAAGGGAAAACATTGGTCAGTGAACAACAATGTGTACTTAAATTTAAAATACTTATTTTAAATATTATTTAAATATAATAATAATAATATGAGTATAATGCATGCTCCTACTGCAAAAATTGCTTTGTGTTTAAGTGAATTAGTAAGTAGAATTATTTAGTTATAGTTATAATTATAGTAGTATATAACCTGTTTAGATATTATGGATTGACATGTTAAGAAACAAAAAATCCAAATTTAAAGAATATAATTTTTTTTTTTTTAAATAAGGGACACATTTTATTGAAGATCTTAAAGCTGACAAAAAAAATTAAAAGTTATTAAACTTTTAAATGATTAAAATTTTTATCGATAACACGTAGTGTTGTTCCCTTTTAGAAATAATGATTTATATATATATATATATATTCGACATATAATAGAAACTAGTTCGTCTATAAATATGACAGTTTATACATTATTTTACTAAAATCAATGAGTTTTCGGAAATAAAAGAGGAATTGCTACAGTCAATGAGTTTTCGGAAATAAAAGAGGAATTGCTACAGTCAATGAGTTTTCGGAAATAAAAGAGGAATTGCTACAGTCAATGAGTTTTCGAAAATAAAAGAGGAATTGCTACAGTCAATGAGTTTTCGGAAATAAAAGAGAAATTGCTACAGTCAATAAGTTTTCGAAAATAAAAAAGAAATTGCTAAAAATCAATGTTTTTTTTTTAAATAAAAGAGAAATAAACATAATCATATTTGCAAGCGAAGCCACAAAATTTTATTATACCTTAAATTACATATGTAAAGAAATTGAGGCCGCATGGTAATATCCTTATGATAACTCGTATTATACTTTCTAATGCTGTAAAAGAATGTATTGAAAAAATGTTTCCTTAAATATTTTTTTTTTATAAATTCTGGTTTAAAAAACAGGTTTTTGATTCGAGTACTACGGGATGTGTGTCGATGTATCGATGTGAAAGTTAATGTTTCTTTTTTTTTCAGTTGAGCTCTTACATATTCGCTTGTCAAATATTGAATGATTATTTATTAATGTACTTAATAAATTATATACTTAATAATTAGCATATAAATTATATTATTTATAATGTGATCAAAATAATACGTTCCAAATTGTTACGACCTTAGAAGTTCATATCTTAAATGGAAATTCAAATTTCTTATAATGTACACGTGATTAATATTAACTTAAAACGATTTGTGATAAATCTAAATAGAAATTGATATAATAATAATCATCATTATAAGCCATTAACTGTCCACTGCTGAATATAGGCCATCCAACAAATGGTGAATATCATGGGCGAAACAGTATACTCTGTTATGTGCATGGTACTGCTCATGTCTACAGGCGATGGTTACCACTTTCCAATAGGTGGGCCGTCAGCTTGTTTGCCATTCTAAGTTGTATAAAAAAATAGGTCGTCTTCTTGAAAGGTTTTGCTAGTAGTTACCACACTCGGTAGGAGGGGAAGCAACTGCAGTAAGGCTTTGGTGTTGGTGATGTTTTAAAAAGGACGCCGCTGCTCAACCCTCGACCATTATATCCCTAACATGCTTCTTTCTTTTTTTTTTGTCTTTTCACGTCCTGGGATTCTTCTATAGTGAAGTTTATAGTTTTTTTATTGGAAACTTTTTTTTCTTGTTTTAACACTGTATTTACTTAGCTATATTTAATTGGAATTATTTTGTTTAATTCCACTACCATTAGTATGTAGTATGTGTGCCTAAAATGCAAAATTTTAAATTTTCACAATTCGACTGACGAACGATTAACAGTACGCTCCGTGCAGCGATCTATTGATTTGCCTGAAGATGCCTCGTTTAAAAGTGAAAAACGTATCGCAAAACGTGTGTGGACAAAATAGCAGAGTTTGTTAGCTAATATGAAGGATTATAAAATTTCTGGTAATAATAATAGTATTCAATTTTGAAGTGTTGGTAGTCGCACACATACTAATGGTAGTGGAATTAAACAAAATAATTCTAATTAAAAATCCAGTAAAATGGACTTTTGTAAAATAATACATAGTTTTGTAAAATATTTACAATTTATTTATTACATTACAGATGTTACACTTATGTTGGGTGTATTACTTCTCGAAGCTATCAGAGTTTGCGGACACTGTGTTCTTCGTGTTAAGGAAGAAGAAGAGTCAGATCACGTGGCTTCACCTCTACCATCACTCGCTGACGCCGTTCGAGGCGTGGCTACTTGTCAAATTTATTGCTGGTAAGTGAAATAAACATTTTATAAATGATTTGCTTTATACGTGTATTATACTAGCTATAACTTCCGACTTTTACCGTGTGAATCAATACATAAAGTATCCTATATGCTGAATTAAGGTATGACCTATATGTATACCAAATTTCAATCAAAACCGTTCAGTAGCTTTTGCGTGAAAGAGAAACAAACATCTATCAATCATTATAAACCTACGCATATATTATAGGTATTTATCATCATCATCATCATCATCATCATCATCATCACCATCATTATATCAGCCTTTAACTGTCCACTTCTGAACATAGGCCACCTCTTGGGGGGTTTTGCCAGTAATTATTATGCCAGTATATATTAATAGGAAGTAACTACTTCTATTACGAAAGTACATCTACGCTACGACATACTTATTACGTATGGGTGATATGGATACCAATCCGATATCTATATATCGGGATCCTTTGGACATTGATGACGGACAATAGATCATCACCCATTTCGACAACGCCCACATCGGTCAGATATTTATTTTCGATTATGTTAAAAGTCTGTTACCCAAATTTATTTTGGATAACAGACTTTTAACATATTGTTATTGGGCATGTACATAGATTATTATTTATATTATTTCAGTCATTAACTGTCCATTTTACCAGTAGTTGCCACGCTAGGCAGGCGAGTTGGCAACCGCAGTCTTTTATTTTTGTATGGGTGAAAATGGAATGGTAACCCCGCCTGCGCTATCGATATACACCGGCGGGGCACCAGTGGGAGATGAAAAGGTGAGGATGAAAGCAAGTCAGTTAGCCCATTGTGACGAAATCAGAAAGACACAATCACATTACAATGGTTTCCAGGGGAAACCGCGTGGAGGTCGACCTGATGGGATATATCGCTAGCAATGAGGACATTACTAACAATCCCTTTCCCCCTGGCAACCGCAGTCAGACTTTTAGAGATCTTTAAGAGGGACACTGCTGCCTATCTCTCGCCCTTAATTAGTCGGTTCTTATGACACCCACGAGAAAGGAAGGGTTGGTCCATTCTATACTGGGACACACGCGACAATGTATATAGATGTTGTAACAAAAATATATGGATATTACTATATATTACTTATAAGATTCTCATTATTATTTACTTTGTTATTTTATTTATACTTTTTTTTTATACTACTTAGAATGGCAAACAAGCTGACGGCCCACCTGATGGAAAGTGGTAACCGTCGCCTATAGACATGAGCAGTACCATGGACATAACAGAGTATACTGTTTCGCCAATGATACCCCCCATGCGTTGCCATTCCTGAGGACTCAGGTGTTATTCCTCTGTACCGTGTAAATTCACGCTATATCCCACCCGTCAAACCGAAACACAGCCATGCAAACACAAATGCTTCACGGTAGAAACACGAATGGGACAGAACTATAACTATATATATACTTGGTGCAATAAAGCGTAAAAATATCCACCCCTAATACATATCGTAGGCATTTGTTCATTTCACATCTGTTTATGAAACAATACGGGTAATAACTATATGATATTTATGTTGATATTATAGTATCGATTGCTTGGGTACGTCTGTCCCATTTGTGTTTCAACCGTGAAGCAGTTGTGTTTGCATGGCTGTGTTTCGGTTTGAAGGGTGGGATATAGCGTGAATTTACTGGATACAGAGGAATAACACCTGAGTCCTCAGGAATGGCAACGCATGGGGGATCATAGGCGAGACAGTAAACTCTGTTTTGTCCATGATACTGCTCATGTCTATAGACGACGGTTACCACTTTCCATCAGGTGGGCCGTCAGCTTGTTTGCCATTCTAAGTTGTATAAAAAAAAAAATTGGTAGTATAAAAAAATATTGTGCAATTAATGTGTGCTGTTATTCTAGGTGGCCATGGAACATTCTCGAACATCGTGAACAACCTTGTTCACATCATCATGTACAGTTATTACATGGTGGCAGCCATGGGACCGCAGTACCAGAAGTACTTATGGTGGAAGAAACACCTTACAACCCTTCAGCTAGTATGTATATTGATTTATTTTTATTATGTACAACTGGGGTAACAATGTAATGTAATGTAATGTATGTATCATCATCATCACCCGTTAACTGTCCTCTGATTAACATAAGCCTCCCCCATAAAGGGGTTTTGCCAGTAGTTGCCACACTTAGCAAGGAATTTAACAATCGCAGTTAAACTTTCAGTGGTGTTTTTAGAGGAAAGCTGCTGTCCATATCTCAACAATTATGTCCCACACTAATTTTAAAATTATTCATCTGATTTACCCCGAGATTAAATATAACATAAACGTCTTGAGAATTTTTACAGTTACGAAAAATTTTGCAAAATTTCAAATGCAATTAATTTTATTTCCTTTTAAATGTCTGCACGAAATAGGAATTACATTATCTGCGAGCGCAAAACAACGAAGAAATAAGTTACGGTCTACATATTTATAACAATTAGATTCTATTGCGCAGACGAGGCAAGCTTTTTCATTTAATTAATCCAATGAGCAACATTACAATAATTTAGCATGTAGCAAAAATGCGTAGCGCAAAATATGCTATTTTATTTTACTTTATTATGAAATTGTATGAAGCAAGAGAAGAAAAGAGTTATTCCTCTGTACCCTGTAAATTCAAAGTGCCTGCTTTTTTTTGGTTCTGTTTATCCTAAAAGAAAAAAAGTAAAGTGCTTTGCCCATACAGCTTATGACTGTCGTAATGATTTTATCAAATTATTAAATTTTCTTAGATTAAAAAATCTTGATTTTTAACAACACATCTGTAAACACATCATGTGTTTATAAAGAGCAGAAAAGGTTTTTGAGTTTTCTAAAACTTCTTGAAGCGAGCTCGATATTTTTGTGTGTTATATGCGATTACATCAATTCTTTACTTCTTCTTAACTGTACTTGATATATTGTGTATGAACGGAAAGATATTAATATTTAATTCAATTTAAATATTTAGCTATATGCGTAAAATTATTTATCAATTTGAATGAAAAAAGATAGATATATTTGGATTCAGGAGAAAATTCTTTGATATTTAATTCAACGAGAAATTTTTTAATCTAGCTGTATATGTAAAAGTAGTTATGAATTTGAATGAAATAAGAGAGGTATGTATGGTTAGATAGAGTATAAAATTCTTTGATATCTTATTCAACGATAACATGAGGTGAGTTATGAAAGTGAATGAAACAAGATATAGAAGCCTTTAGCACTTAATGCCAACTGCCTACCGTGCAAAAGATTTAACGTTTAGAAGTAATAATAAAATTGCGTTTCACAAAAGAAACTATACTCCAGTTGTAGCAAAACCAGTTATTTTAATTCAAAAACTAAACTACTAAAGCGATTTTGATAAAATTTCAAAATTTCCTATCTATAAGTATATTTTTTCAGATAAAAAATCAGTTTTCCAAATTTGTTTGCAATTGACGGTGTTATAAGGTAACTAACATAAAAAAATAAAACCGAATCGAACACCTCGTTCTTTCTTAAGCTCGTTTTTTTTTTGAAGTCAGAGAAATATTCGGTTAGATATTTCTCGTCAATTACAAACAGTAATAAGTCGTAACACACCGAGACCTGTCCATAAACACTCACTTCCGTGGATCAACTATCGTTTTGCGAAAACCAATATGATCAGTGTAGACCACACCTCGCATTCCTGAATAGGAGTCGTTGCGAAAACCACAGGATCTGCTAACATTAAGTGTATGCGGCGTTTTGTATTTTAAAGCAACTAATCTAAGATCTGTTTAGATTAGATTAGATTTGTTTATTTGTGAGAACATTGTTTTTTACAGATATTGATCCATTGTGAAGTACAAATGTTCGCCTTATAGTCCAAAGCATGCAAAATTATTATTGGGTACAAGATACATTACATTTAATACATACATATAAGTGCTAATTAATAATAGAGTACAAATTATGTCATTCTGTAAATAATTCTCCCAAAAAACGATAACGTTTATTTATTTATTTATTTATTTTTAATAAGGCACACATAACAAATTATAACCTTTTGTTAGGTTTATATATAGGTAATTATGGTGTTAATGCTAGGTTATAATTCAAAAACATGTGTACACAACATGATTAACATTTAAACATAACATTTCAATTTCGACACGTGGAAGACATAATAATTAGTAAACATTATATACATATACCATAATTTATATTAAAAGAAATTTAAACCATAAAACTATCATCACACAAGAAAAACAGCCCAGCCTTAGGATGGCCTTAACATGAACCACATCACTAAATACCCGTAAACGTGCAAGTTCATTCCAAACGGCTCACGCACCTTCTGAATGATGACAGCTTCATGTCGAATATATCAATGAATTTGTCGGCATTTAGTAATAATAATTCGTCAACTGTTACAATTCATTCTATTACAATAGTCCAATGTCAATAGATGCCAATGTCAAATAATAATCACATACAAGTAACAAATACAATAATATATAGATTTAAATTAAATTTGTACAATACGAGTATGTCACAGCTTACATTTATGTCAAGTATGATACACTAAATATTGTCACGTTTATACTCAATAAATTCTCTTACCGTGTAGAAACACTTTTGTAAGAGCCACATCGACAAGGTTTGTTTGAATTGTTTAAGACCTAATTCTTTAAATTCTTAGGGATTGCATTATACAGTTTCGTACACATGTAATAACAATTTTTTTTATAGACTGCTGTTTTTGGAAAACAATTTAAATCTAATCTATTTGGCTGTCTCGTATTTTTTTGGGTATTGTTGTACAGCAGTAGTAAATTTGCTAAAATATTTTTTGACAAATACTGTATTACAATGTTAAATATATAGGATTCGTAGTCATTAGCATCTTTATTTATTTATTTATTTATTTATTCATTAGTACAAATATGTGTACATGGCGGACTTAATGCTAAAAGCATTCTCTCCCAGTCAACCATAGGGAAGTGTCAGAATACTCGAATGCGGTACTACTAATTATTGATATACATACATACTAAAATTACCATCTTTAAAGGCGTATATATCATTAGGTAAGAGTTCTCTTGTAATCTAAATAACTGTGAAACGGCAGGTAATTACTATTATTGTCCTGGGTTCTTTCTTCATCTTCCACCTTCTTTCCCCTCTGTTATATATATGCTATTAAGTATGTGTATATTTATGTATATATTTGTTTATATGTATATATATTCATTAGGTGAATGGTCATCTAACCTGGTATTAGCTGATCATACGCGTGTTTTTAAATATTGTTTTTAATTAATGATAATGGAATGGTTAGCCTGCGCTAACGGTATACACTGGCGGGGTACCAGTGAGGGATGATAAGTGGGAATGAAAAGGTAGGTCAGTTAGTTCATCGTTATGAATACACCTGGAATTCAGTACGACGGTTTCCAGGGGGGACCACGTGAAGATCGACTTAACAGGGTATTTTTTTATACTACTTACAATGGCAAACAAACTGAGGCCCACCTGATGGAAAGTGGTAACCGTCGCCTATAGACATGAGCAGTACCATGGACATAACAGAGTATATTGTTTCTCCCATGATACCACCCATGCGCTGCCATTCCTGAGGACTCAGGTATTATTCTTCTGTACCCTGTAAATTCACGCCATATTCCACCCTTCAAACCGAAACACAACTGCTTTACGGTTGAAACACGAATGGGACAGAGGTACACAAGCAATCGACTTTTATACAGTCTCCCTTTGGTATATTAGTAGCAGTGCGACTGGTAGCCTGCATTACTAACCCTCTCCCCCAAATCTTTATAAATATTTAAAGCCTATATTATTTTTAACCGACTTCAAAAAGAAGTTCTAAATTCGATTGTATTTCTTTTTTTGTCACTTACCTCATAACTCCGTCAATTGTGAATCAATTTGGAAAATTCTTTTTTTATCTGAAAGGATGTAATTACAGGTTGCTCTCATAGATATTATAAGAAAATCTATTCGGAAGTTTAGTTTACAAATTGAAATAACTGATTTTGTCACAACTGAAATCAGTTTTTTTTTGTGGGACACGATCTTTAATCATTTACAAAGTCTCCCACTGGTGCACAAGAAGTGCGTCGATTGATCAATAAATAGCAAATTGAAAGACAAACATGTTGTAATCACCATACAAATGGTGCGCGGGGGCAGCGCGAGACCAACGTTGCAACACCAACCGGAACGTTGTATCCTTTCTCTGCAATACCCGCTTGCACATTCTAGAATTTCAATTAATAACAGTACACCGCTTGTCCGTATGGATTTGAAATCCGAATAGACAATATCCGTTAGTTTGTTCTGAACATACTTGTAATGAAATAGTACATCATTTATTTATTATTTCGGCCGTTTACTGTCCACTGCTATACATAAGCCATCCCCGTTGGCAAGCGGATTGGCTACCACAGTTAGGCTTTAGAAGTGTTTCAAGAAAGACTCAGCTGCCCATCCCTCGCCCTTCCTTAGTCGGCTCTTATGAGATTCACAGGATAAAAAGGGGTAGTCTATTCTATGCCAAGACTACACGGCTGATATTTATATATATATATATATATATATATATATATATATATATATATATATATATATATATATATATATATATATAGTTACATATATACCTATATTAATTATTTTCAGTTGTATCTAATTGTACCTTTCCAACAAATCATATCATTTTTCTCAAGGCCAAAACTAATTCTAGCTATTTGTTGTTACAAATTGTTATATTCATAATAACAAACAATTAATTAACCGCATTGCAATTCATAATTTTAGTAACATTGACACGAATAATAATGTACGCGTGAATTTCGTCTTACGTGAGTTTAGTTGGCCGTATATCCGCACGTAACAGTAATTACGAGTGATTACAATCGACAGAAGCAAGGTGAAGTAAAAAAAAAACGGTTCTACAAGTACTAACTAAAGAAAAAATATAATGACGAATATAAACCGAAATAGGACTGTCAGTGGAATTTCGATATTGTCAACCAACTTAAAAAGGAAGCAGATTCATGATTCAATTGTATTTTTTATATATATAAAAAATAGAAAAAAATTATATATAAAAATAATATATATTTATATGTACTGTATACTATGTCTGACTAATATATTCGTTGATTTTGTAATTTTTGGACAATTATTATTGGTTATTTTGTTGCTTCATACTTTTTTGTTTTATTGTAAAGTTGTTTTATGATATCTTCTTGTTACTTATAAAAAATAATCAACACAATGTACACAAACAAGCAAACGAATGAATGAATAGCAAACAAGCTGACAGTCCACCTGATGGAAAGTGGTAACCGTCGCTTATAGACATGAGCAGTACCATAGATATAACAGAGTATACTGTTTCGCCCATGATACCCCCCATGCGTTGCCATTCCTGAGGACTCAGGTATTATTCCTCTGTACCCAGTAAATTCACGCCATATCCCACCCTTCAAACTGAAACACAGCCATGCAAACATAACTGCTTCACGGTTGAAACACAAATGGGACAGAGGTGCCCAAGCAATCGACTTTTGTACAAAGTCTCCCTCGAGTCGTTTTGGTTTTACGCTTTGTCCATATTCCATTGTCATAACCTATTCATCAAGCCAGTCTTGTAACCACATTTGTTTGCAGATGACTTTTGTACCATGACTGTCTCTTATGTAAAATTGTATTATATAAGTTGTAAAAAAATTTATGACATTAGATTTGCCAAAAAAATAGGCATTCAAGCACAAACTACGTTCTTTTTATTTAAAATCCCTAGAATCGTAACATGTTTTAGACATATTTTTTATGCTACTTAGAATGGCAAACAAGCTGATGGCCCACCTGATGGAAAGTGGTAACCGTCGCCTATAGACCTGAGCATATGAGCACATGAGCAGTACCATGGACTTAACAGAGTATACTGTTTTGCCCGTGATACGACCCATGCGTTGCTATTCCTGAGGTAAGGTTCTAACACTCAGATATTATACCTCTGTACCCTGTAAATTCACTGTCATATCCCACCCTTTAAACCGAAACACAGCCATGCAAACACAACTGCTTCACGATAGAAACACGAATGAGACACGAGGTGCTCAAGCAAACGGCTTTTGTACAGTCTCCCTCTGGTAAAATTTATTTCATTGCTCATTATGATGCACCGTCAATTATATTTTCTGTTACTTCTATCTCCAGTCGACAAGTAGATAACGCCATATAGCACTAAGTTCTTCATTTACACTAAGTGTATTAAAGTTTAATAAACCAGAGGGAGACTTTGTACAAAAGTCGATTGCTTGTATACCTCTGTCCTATTCTTGTTTCAACCGTGAAGCAGTTGTGTTTGCATGGCTGTATTTTAGTTTGAAGGGTGGAATATGGCGTGAATTTACAGGGCACAGAGGAATAACTCCTGAGTCCTCAGGAATGGCAACGCATGGGGGGTATCATGGGCGTAACAGTATACTCTGTTATGTCCATGGTACTGTTCATGTCTATAGGCGACGATTACCACTTTCCATCACGTGGGCCGTCAGCTTGTTTGCCATTCTAAGTTGTATAAAAAAAAACTTAAATTTACCTTTAATTTATTTACCAGGTCCAATTCTTCATGGTGCTCTTCCACTCCATAAGCGCTCTGGTATACGACTGTGGTTATCCAAAGTAAGTATTATAGTAATAATAATAACAAATCTACAAATCGATTTACACACCTACAATGCCTGTGGTATTGTAGGTGATCATGAGCGGCGGTAGTCACTTACCATCAGGTGAGCCGCATGCTCGTCTGCACCCAGGGTTATAAAAAAATCAAACACAAGAATACAGTATTTGTCTCTTTATTTCTATCATGATTATATCAGCCTTTAACTGTCCACTGCTGAATATAAACCTTTGGAGAGATTTTTAGAGGGACACTGTTGCCCATCCCTCGCTCTCCATTCGTGCCTATTACGAGACCTACGGGAAAGGAAGGGGTGGCCTATTCTATGCCGGGATAATAATATTTTTAAAACTTATATTCATTTTTAACAACAAATATATATATATATATATATATATATATATATATATATATATATATATATATATATATATATATATATATATATATTCAAAACAGGAATATTATAACTTTCTAAGTTTGTCATTTCCGACGATTGTTTCGATTCGGAATGTCGGAAATCGGAAATATCGATGCCGCTTCGATATCTATTATTGGATCCCTATGGAAATGATTGGTAAATACAAAGGTGATCACCTATTTCAATATCGCTTATACCTATCGGATATCTATGTTTTATCAATATTATATATATTAGATAACATAGACATTTAATATATTCATTCTTATACTAATATATAAGTATTGTAGCTAAAATATATTGCCATAACCTACCCCTAAGTTTCGACTACATTCACCAGTTTTCTTATATTCGCCAATGAAACCAAAACAATTTTCGGAAACGACGAACTTAGTAAGTTCATAAAATTCCCCTTATACTCGTATACATAAATAATAATACGCCATGAAACAAACCTTTTTTGCGTTCGCTCTAAGATTTCTACGATGAATGTCAAAACCCGTACGATCACTGATAATACGACAGACAAAACTAAAACTGGTCCACGCTTGTTAACTGCTATCGATAGCCGACGGTGACCACTTTCTACTAGACAAACTACTTGCTAATTCATCACTAGTGATCTTATAAAAATTATACATTAAAAGTTACGTCCGTTCAGCTTCCGGGTAGATAGAGACTATGGAATTTTTGTACCATCACCATATTCTTTTTAATGGGTAATGGAAGGGTAACCCTGCCTACGCTAACAGTATACGCTGGCGGGGCACCAGTGAGGGGTGATAGGTGAGGATTAAAATACAAGTCAGTTAGCCCATCGTGATGAATTCACTTGGAACTGAGCACGATGGTTACCAAGATGAAACGCAATGAGGTTGGCCTGTCAGGATATATTGCTAGCAATGGAGCTAAAAACCCTTATTACCAACAATCCCTTCTCCACCTCATCATCTTATCATCTACTAATTGTCCACTGCTGAACATAGGCCTATTCCATAAAGGGGGGTTTGCCAATAGTTACCACGCTTGGCAGGCGGATTGGTAACCGCAGTAGGCTTTTGATTATGTTTTAAGACCATTAAACCATTAAACTCGATCATTAAATTCTCACAGTCTCACACCTCTTATAGCACCGTGACTGTAAAAGGCCTAAAAATTACCGTTTGGTCCCGGCACAAAACGGGTTTCCCCGTCCCTTCCCGGGAAAGGGACCACACGATAATTTTGTATATTATGTAACTTGAAATAACTTATAATGTGGTAACCATCGCCTATAGATATGAAAAGTTACACTTTGCAAAATTGAGGGTAAGACCAAGTTGCAAGTATAAACTAGTAAATACTTATAAATAAAGGTTCGAGTTACTTAATTCGCATCATTTTCTGTTATATTACGCGATATATTTCCCAATTCCGAGCCTTCTGTGATCGTTCTGTTTTGCAATCGAAAATAACCAGTGTTAGACCCCCTTTTCCCGTTGAAGGCAATATCCTTCTTGTTTTGAAGCAAAAAATATTTAATGATATTCCCTAGAGACTACAGTATGGGGTTCTTCAAAAGGTTTAATTGAAGTTTCTCCAGGATCTGCAACGCGAACTTGACACTTCTAGTGTTGCAGACGTCCATAGGCTACAGTTACCTTTTACCATCAGATGGTATATGGGACTAAAGGAGGGCTAGATATGGCCAGCAACGTTCCTCTTAAAATATCTCCAAAGCCTAACTGCGGTTGCCAAGCGGTGCAACTATTGACAAAACCCCTCGAAGGAGAGGTTTATGTTCAGCAATGGACAGTTAAAGGATATGATGATCTCCCGTGCATAGACATTGTTTAATAAGAATTTAATTATGCTAATATTAAAGGAAACACTAGACGTCATGTCGTATAGGGAGATAAAGGATATGGCCTGGGATAGAGCTGGCTGGAGGAAGATGCATGAATTAGTTGCACCGACAAGAGGAAACTCTTAAATGAAAAAAAAATATATATTACATAAAATTTTAGTGTAAAAGCACTGGCCACATAAAAGTAAAAGTTTTTTAAAAAAATTCCCCATCACTTGATTTGATTTCTCTTGGTACGTTAGAGCGATATTCATATTAGAATTATTATGAACTACTTTCCGGTCTCACCTATGACTGTGACCGCTTTGCGTAAGATTAATTATGCTCAACTTAATACATGTTCTTTGGGTATACCGTTTTCATAACGCATTCTTATAATAGTAGAATTATATCTATGCTACTTAATGTTATAAAGAGGAAAGATGTATCTATAAACCAGTTATTATGATGTACATAAAACTTCTATGGGACCAATCTGTAAATATATCCTTTCATATAAAAAAAAGAACTTTCCAAATTGGTTCAGAAATGACGGAGTTATGAGGTAACAAACAAGAAAAGACCAGAGAGAGACTTTGTACAAAAGTCGATTGCTTGGGTACCTCTGTCCCATTCGTGTTTCAACCGTGAAGCAGTTGTGTTTGCATGGCTGTGTTTCGGTTTGAAGGGGATATGGCGTGAATTTACTGGGTACAGAGGAATAACATCTGAGTCCTTAGGAATGGCAACGCATGGGGGGTATCATGGGTGAAACAGTATACTCTGTTATGTCCATGGTACTGCTCATGTTTATAGGCGACGGTTACCACTTTCCATCAGGTGGGCCGTCAGCTTGTTTGCCATTCTAAGTTGTATAAAAAAAAAGAAATATAACCGAAAACCTCCTTCTTTCTGATGTCAGCTGAGAATGTCATCTAAAATCCAAAATCCACGCGCTTGAAATTGCGGACAAAAGCTAATTCGAAATAATAACGCACTTCTTTGTCATTGCAGACTCATCGCGTCCGGGCTGATCCTGCACTCGACCATATTCATAGTTCTCTTCATGAACTTCTACATGCACGCGTACGACAAAAAAGTTGAGAAACCAGTGGATACGACGAACAATAATAATAACAACATTACAAACGGACACAACAAATGCAACGGCCACATAAAAGAAAATGGCGAAGCGAATGGTCAAATTGGGAATGGCGAAGTCCACGCCAATGGCGTATGTGCCAATGGTTATACGAAATCTAAAAAATGCAATAACGGTCACATCCAGAACGGATACACGAATGGCCACGCGGTGAACGTCACAGATAAAGAGAAAACACAGTAACTTGATTTTGTCATACTGTTCTCTTCATTGTTGATACATTGTAACGTAATTGTGAGTACTATTTCTTTGACGAAATAGATTTGCTAGATAATACATTCATTGGTGGTATTATCACTGCCAAAGAGAAACTGCGGTCGGTGTGGCGTCTTTAAAGACGATTTCATACCAAAAGATCGCAGTAATACACGGAAATTGCATATTGAAAATTCAATGGTTAAACAAATTATATTGGTGTTAACTATTGAATTTCATCTAATTAGTCCATTCTGAGATGTTCGAAATTAAATATAGTTTTAAGTAACTGGATAATATAAGAATGATATGTCATTCTGTAACATTCTATCTATAAAAATTGATTGTTAACCAACTTGTTTCCAATTTAACCCTTTATTTTGAACTACCTCATAATCGACTCCCCTTTTTACCTCCTTTTTAAGTTATAGTTTCAATTTCCGTCCAGTAATAAGCTTTATTTAGTAATAGATAACAATAATTGTACAGTTTAAATTATTTTGTCCGGTTAGTACAAGAATAATATTGTCACTACAGAAAAAGTCATTCAAATGTCTACATCGTTTATTCATTGATTCTTAACTATTGATCTTGAAATACAAATAATAAGTTCAGGAAGTAATATATTTTAAATTGTTTTTTTTTTTTATTTTCATTTGGATTTTCATTTGCATTATTTACACAAATTTTGATCATATTGGTAATGGTGTCATTATGATTTTTTTTTATTTCAATTAGTAGAAGAATAATGTTGTCATTTATTTTAAGTGTATCATATAATGTAATAAACAATGATTTAAATAATTAAACGTAATACTTTCTAAATTGTTTTGTGATATTTAGATTTTCTACTATAATTGTATACAGAAAAAAGAACATTAAAAAAATTATGAGTGAAGTAGTTAAATTATGAAAATTCTACTATCGTTGTTTACGGAAATTAGAAATTAAATAGTTCCATTATGAAAATTCTACTATCGTTGTTTACGAAAATTATGAATAAAATAGTTAAATTATAAAAATTCTACTATCGTTGTTTACAGAAATTATGGAAAAAATTGTTAAATTATGAAAATTCTGCTATCGTTGTTTACAAAATTATGAATAAAATAATTAAATTATGGAAATTCTAGTATCATTATTTACAGAAATTAATAATTCTACTATCGTTGCTTATGCAAATTATGAATAAAATAGTTAAATTATGTACTTAAAATTAGTACAAGAGAATAGTCGTCATATGTACATTTGTATTATAAAATACTGCAGTAATGAAATTACATTTTCCGTTTAATTGTTCAAAGAATTTATGATCTGCTTGGTAATGGTGTAATTATGAATATATTATACTTTCATCTATATGTAAATAGCGTATTATTTTGTATGGACTTTGTACATAGATTGTATCTTATTATGAGATAGGTATATAGAAAAAAAATTGGAAATTATGGCATAATGTGATAATAAATATGTAAGCTCATACTGATCGACAGGGAGTTCACCCCCATACCTAAAAGATGTTTCCTCCCACGAACGCTCAGGTTATGGAATTAGCTCGCTGTCGAGGTTTTTCCAAGAGACTACAACATGGGGTTTTTTTACAAAAATAGGTGAGGTAATTTCTTCAAGGTCAGTAACGCGTGCGTAATGCCCCTGGTATTGCAGGCGTTCATAGGCTACGGTAACCGCTTACAATCAGAAGGGCCGTATGCTAGTTTGCCACCTCTGTGGTAAACAAAAAAAAGCTCAATATTATCTTTAGGTCTAAAACGATCAACCATAGAAGACTTGTAATGTCAGAATATTAAGACGTTTATTTAAAAGTTTGTCAAACGACACGACGTCGGCATTTTGTACTCATTTAGACCTCATGTATATATTTAATAATTCCAAATGGGAAACGGGAATGTGGATTCTCTTTACATAGAATGCCAATGTTTTACAAACATACCAGTCACTTTAGCGAATTTGTATTATCATTATATAGTAGGTGTTGTACACACTATGTCTAGACTAAGTAATATAAGTGATATAATTATGAAATGTACACATTATAGGCCTATTTCGAAATAAAATGTCGGATTTTTTTTTTAATTGGATATATTTAATATGAAAAAATAAAAAGGGTATTACATTTTTATGCTTGTTATTTCATTATGTCCTTTATTTAATCTATCTAATCTCTCAGCTACTTATAGCTGACTGACTGGCATATCAATAAAAGTTTTTTTTTTTTTCAATGGATTAAAATGAAATAGTTATACCTCCTGCGTGTCGGTTAACACTGGCGAGGCACCAGTGATGATAGGTGAGAATGAAGCAGGTCATTTGACCCATCATGACGAATTTATCAATAATTAACTAAGTTATGTATATATTAGGTATATATATAGTAGGTATTTGTATATGTTTTTTTTAATGGATGATAATGGAATGGTAGCCCCTCCTGCACTAACGGTACATGTTGGCAGCCTGTAATTTTTCCCCCTCTTCACCAGTGAAGGATGATAGGTGAAAATGAAAAGTCAGGTCAGTTAGCCCATCGTAATGAATACACAAGGAATTCAGCACGATAGTTTCCAAAGGGGACCACGTGGAGGTCGACCTGACGGGGCATATTGCTAGCAATGGGACTGGTAGTCTGCATTACTAACAATCCCTTCAATATGTATATGTTAGGTGTGGGACCCATAATTATATCAACTAGGATCAGACCTCTATAACAAATTACATAACGGTTTATAATGCACCAGTTGGAATCTTTACAGCACTATAAAGGATTTCATGGTTTTTTTAATGATAATAGCGCAAAAAAATTAAATATTCCAATTGAATTAAAAAATATATGGTACATAATACTGTTATTATTATGACATAAAATGAATATTAATTCCTTGAAATTAGAAATTTAACTCAAAAGAAAAAGACAAATTATTAGCTAAAACGGGTTTAATGCATTTGTGTTTAAAGACGATAAATTTGTATTTTCTACATACATATAACTAGCGACCTCTGGTACACAAATAAGAAACTGATATAAATAATCCAAGTTAGGAATAAGCAACACCTTCATAAGCAAGTTTTAGATTAACAGAACGTTAAGTTGCAGTAAATATGCACAGATGTCGTTAGTGGTAGTCGTGATTGCTTTTTATAATAAAATATATCGCATTTTTAATTCAATTAGGATTTTAAAATAATATTTTAATATATTGTTTTCAACTAATAATTAAAAAAAATTAAAAAGATACATATACACTGATACTCTACAGGGGTGATGAAGGACATCGACTCCTTCATCCCAGATAGCAAACATATCCTAGTCACGAGAACGAAATCGCGGATAAAAGCTAGTTGCAAAAGTAATTCACACAGACACATGTATATATGGTAATCTTTTTCCTAAATTCAATAATTTATCTTCCTAATATAATAATATAAAAAAAAATATATGTAAGGAGTTTATAATGTTTAGAATTTCTTTCTTTCCATCTTTATATTTATTTCGGCATGCAAAAACTACTCCACCAAATTGGATACGGTTCTTACAGTTGAAAGTGTAACTTAAAAAATTTTGTAGATTTTACCTCGATACGCCAGCTGGAAATGGTCTATCTAATTCGTTCTCCTACGTCTGAAATTCGCGCGTATGAAACAGCGGCCAAACTATTAATATTACCTACATAAAAAAAAACATTTTATATATCACTCTAGGTATTATACAAAACTTCATTCAAATGCATTCACCCTGCATTATTATTTATTTATTTATTCATTAGTACAAATATGTGTACATGGCGGACTTAATGCTAAAAGCATTCTCTCCCAGTCAACCATAGGGAAGTGTCAGAATACTCGAATGCGGTACTACTAATTATTGATATACATACATACTAAAATTACATATATAAACGAATAAATATATATGAATAACAAATATAGTTACACATATATGATATATACTATATTATACACGAATTTGGGAATAATATAAAGCACTTATTGCTCGGATAAAAATAAAAAGTGAGCATGAACGTTTTCTTTTTTTGAAAGACGATTTAGTCGGTAGTCTCTTAATGGCATCAGGAAGCGGAATTATGTATCAAACATCCAAATATATGTATCACCAAACATACGAACATTATATTTATAATTGATTTATTGACCAACACGATAAATGCACCAGGAATTAACAACCAGTCTCTACGTGGTGATCGACAGGACCTTTGCTCTTTCATTTGATACTCTTACTTTATTTATCTCTTACTAGCTATATCCCACAACTTTGCTCAATTTAATTAGTAATTAGTGTTCCATGAATTCCGTTACCTCGCTGTGTAATATGCCAATGTGTCCGAGGATAGCCCCATCTTGTACTGTATTATATGCCTTCCTCGTATATATCGAACTAAGACACCCATTATGAGTCTTATCTATTGTCTGTTACCACTGTAGAAGAGTTTATTCAATCCCTGGGTTTTGTTTTTTAAGAACTGTTTAGAATACCTGAGACCTTTCAATTCATTTGCTGTTCTATTTTCATATACTCCTCATAGCATACCACTCATTATTAACAGCACTAGATGCAATTGTGGCATATAATTCAGGATCTATCATTTTTTATTCTAATCCACTTCACGCCAACTTATCAGTCTTTAAACCCTTCACCTTTAATCCCTGTATGTAATTATTTCTATTTAAGTAAATATCAAATATCTATCGGTTAAGAAACGAAATTTCTATACATACTTCCATCCTTACATTTTCACTGTTAAAGTTTTTACAATTTTGAAAAATTCTTTCATATTACTTGTGTAGGTCATAAAAGGAATCTACTGTCAAAATTTGGTAATTCCAGCTTTTGTAGTGTCTTGTAGCTTCGCGTAGAGGAGTTGGTCAGTCGAAACTTTTTTTTTTCTCAACTGGTATAAATATCTACATCAGTGTCATCATCATCATCTTATCAGCATTTAACTGTCCACTACAGTACATAAGCCTCCCCTTTGCGGAGTTTTGCTAGTAATGGGACACGCTTGACAGGCGGATTGGCAACCGCAATTAGGCTTAAAATATATTTAAGAAAGACGCTGCTGCCCATCCCTAGCCCTTCCTTAGTTGCCTCTTACGACACCAAGGGAAAAGTAAGGGGTGGCTTATTCTATGCCGGGACCACACGGAAAATATAGAAGTATGGATAATAAAAATGGACTTAATAATATTTGTTTAAGTGGTACCTCTTTGGCTCTTACGACTGAAATCAATCATTTTGGCATGAAGCAGGATAGTTTATTTTACGGTTTGAAATTTTATAAACCAATTTCCTATTATCCCCGACACTACAGACGTTTTTAATATTTGTCAGACCTCGTTTTGACAATTATTGAACGATATACACACAGAGATTCTTACTGAGACTGCTGTAATATGCATTTATTGATCTTTTTTCTAGTATTTTTATTATTATTATTATAAATTTTTATTATTTTTTAACCCCTGTGTGAGTGCTGTCGTATATTTATACAAAATAAAGTTTCTTTATTTCTTCTTTCTTTTTACTACAAAAATTATCAGTTTTTTATTTTTTTTATACAACTTAGAACGGCAAACAAGCTGACGACCTACCTGATGGAAAGTGGTAATCGTCGCCTATAGATATGAGCAGTACCATGGACATAACAGAGTATACTGTTTCGCCCATGATACCCTCCATGCGTTTCCATTCCTGAGGACTCAGGTGTTATTCCTCTGTACCCTGTAAATTCACGCCATATCCCACCCTTCAAACCGAAACACAGCCATGCAAACACAACGGCTTCACGGTAGAAACACGAATGGGAATTGAATTAGAAATAGAATGATAGATCTTCGTTTGCTGTATTGTATTCCAATATGTATTGTAAATAGTTTCAGCCCAAACCGGCTGTAATGGGGAGGTTAGTTCCACTTGCTATCAATATACCCTACCAGGTCGACCTCCACGCGGTTCCCCCTGGAAACCATCGTGACTTATTTATCGTTAAATTCGTCACGATGGGCTAACTGACCTGCCTTTTCATCCTCACCAATCATCTCTCACTGGTGCTCCGCCAGTGTATACCGATAGCGCAGGCGGAGTCACCATTTCATTATCATCCATTAAAAAAAAAAGCCCAAACCGGCTTTTTAATCGTTCATCATCCCTATCGTCGTTATAAAAAGCATGATATCCATATTAACTGCTCATTCGGTTTAAACCTCACTTAACCTCAAAATAATTTCCGGTCTCAACCACCCTACGTAGATAACAATCTCTCAATTCCTTCATTGAACATTACCTACTCAATAGTATCAAATTGCCATTATACATATTAAAAAAACATTACATCCACCCTTAACTTTGTCCCTGTTAAATAGATAACAACGTCGATGTACCTAAAACAATCGAAGCACAACTAAGCTTGAACACCTATAAAGTACTGGTGCCGATAAAAATTTCAACCTCATTAAGATACAATTAGTAGCGTGTAATTGAAACGAAAATCCAGCCTTTAAATTTTAACGGTGTGCCGATAACACTGTAGGCCCTTCCTAAGCCTTAATTATCGCCTGGCAAAATGTCAATAAACCTGACGTCCGAATGTTTTTTCTCCCCTTTCTAATTTGTGAGCCCTAAAATCGGGCCCTATATTTTGTAGGGGCAGCCAATATAAAAAGACTCATCACGCTGCCGGTATACGAATGAATATGGAGTATAGTTAACAAAACGCAGTTCATCCTTCAGTGGTCAACGTAACCCTGCATTGAGAAGGGTATATACAGGGTTGAAAATGCACCATTCTATCACTCTTTCACAGCGATCGTGTGACAGAGATGGCGGTAGTGTCGCTGCTGTTTAATCATGTTCCTTTACACGCAAATATTTTAAATTTGATACAAAAATTATTCCTGTTAAAAAGTAATTATACAGATACACTTTCCATTATATCGTGTTATGTATAGCTTAACAAACATTTATTTGAAATACATTTTTTAATTATATACACTTTGTTATAATAAAATCTAATAAAAAATGTGTAAATAAAAAATGTGTTTACCAATTTTACATAATATTTAAAAAAAAATTAAAATAAAAATTCAGTAACAAAATTGTTTACAATCAATAACAACTGTGAAACGGAACGCATTAGTCAAGTGTTCGGCCAACTCCGCCGGCCGGGCTACCCTAGCCCCGGATTCTCACTTCAATTCAGTCGTGTGCGCGTTACGAGCGCGCTCGCACCGCGTCGTGTTTCACTAATCATTGCATATACAACAAAATAAACCACAAATTCTTATCAATAAAAACCTCACACCGAATGTAGGGATGTGATTGTGTGTTATAACCTGTGTTCTCTGTTAACAAAATGTGATTGGACAGGTCGTGTTAGCGCTCACTTTGATATCCAGGCGTCGTGTATTGTGAATAATGATATGTAACAACATTTTGTACGGCGATAAATCGGCGGTAACAGTGTACTTTTAATCGGTAATGTGTCGGCGAGAGGGTTGAGACAGTGTTATGTTTTTGGGACAAACTGTCCCCGTTTTACCGCAAAGGGGGTGGGAATCCTATGGAATATGCTAATCAGCAGGTTTCTTTTAACCCGCAAACAAAAAGCCTGCACTACTGACTGCAGTGGAGATTTGTGTTGCTAATTTTTCAGTTCCTAACCGTTTCAATTTGGCTAAATATAAACTACATTACAATTTATTTGTATCATATTTCTTAAACTGAATATTATTCGTATTACCAAAGATAAGTCTCTGCTGTTATAATAATACTCAAAAGCTAAAGATTTTAGTGTTTTCAACAATAGAAATACTAATAATTTTTAATTATAATAAATAAGACGTAATAATTATTAATAGACGAGTTTTATAAAATGATGATTTTGACGTTTATTTGTCCAATTCACAAATTGTATTGTGATGGTCTCACTTCACATTACCTAGTTATTCTTTACTCATTTTCTTATATGCTATAGTGATTAACATTATATTGATAGCTGTATACTCAGTACATATCTACTGAATTGTACTAAAGCGTTATTTCCTTTGTGCAGATGGGTCTCTTTGCACTAATTTCCGGTTCTACTTCAGTTGTTAACCTGTCTAGTTTCGATCTAGATTTTAACATGACCATCGCATTTCTCATCTTTGTATTATAGATAAAAGAGTACAAATTACAGTGAAACAGATATTTAAGGACATTCAAGGCATACCCTATGAAATGGCAAATTTAAAGGTTTTACAATGAAACACAACAATTATGCTATTTTACAATGAAATCATCAGCAACGCTTAAATAGGAAATTAATAATTTGAATAAGAAAGAATCCGTCAAAGATACTGAGATCAATGATGAATAATTTAAAATTTTGATAAAATCCAAAGAATACTTGGAATCTATTTGTTTTGTAAATCACTGACAATAAATGGGGGCTTCGTTTGAAGAATTTCAGAATAAAAGCATTTTTTTTATTAGAAGTATCAAATTGATTGAAGAAAAAATAATTTAATGGTGAAATACAACTCTTTGTGCCAACCCCCAAAATTATGTTTAGAGAATAGCCAATAAAAGAGGCGAGAGATCTCTGATAAAAACAATCTACAATGTTCAGATTGTTCACAGTATCGTAATTACAAATATTTGAAGCAAATTGTACTTAGCCCATTACACAACATTACAAAGGTGAAGTAAAATAATAAGTAAATAAATCCTTCAATTTACTATTGGAAGCTGTGAAATTGTTATCAAAATAAATTACTTGTACTATTCTACGAAATTTATTTCGCAATTCATAAATATATTGAGATATTAATAGAAAAAAAACGAAGATGCAGAGAATTGGAAAAAGAAAAAAATCTTTATTACAGTGTATTTCAATGAAAGAAAATTTAAATAAAAATTAAAGAGAAATAAAAAAGAACATAAATCAATCTATTTATAATTAAAAATAGTACACGATTAAATGACAAAAAATAGATTCGATCCAATACAGAAAGATCAACAGCGTCAGACGTAAATAAAAGCAAAGAGAATAGAAAAAGGTATGTGAAACAAACAAAAATAAAAACAAGAAACTATTCCGTGTACGGCTTATTTCTTACTACGGAAGTTGCTAGTGTTTCGACCGGTTCTTTATTATGTATATACCAACAAAGAATCCGGTTCTCTTCAATCAGATCTTGTGAAATGTAGATTAACTGTAATACTATACAATGATTCTGAAGGGTACGATGGCGTGTAATCATCGTTTTGTGATCATTCAATATCATTTCACCCGTCTCTGACTGTATTATTTAAAAGTTAATCAAACCTCGCTGGAAGATTGAGTGCTCAAGTCTTTTGCTATTGAAATATTGTGAGCACTCAGTCTATTGACGAAACGATCTTTTATTAAAACTAAGAGTTGCCTCTCTTGTTTACTTAATATACTTTCTACAATATATATTGTTGCGAGATTTTTTGTTATAAAAAGAAGTTATTAATTTAAACTTAAAAAGTCAAAGAGATCGTTTCGACTGAATACTCAGTAATCAGTAACTAAGTTAACCATATTATGAAAATCAGTAATATAAACGTAATGTACTTTTGTTATAAAACCACATTTACAAATTCACAATATTCGATTTAAAAATTGATTTATAAGTAGGTACTATTTGTTATTTGCAACGTTCCTACTAGACATATCCAGAAGACATTTAAAACAGTTTTACTGATTCAAGGTCTTAAAAATAAAGGATGATCACAACGGAATCCAATTTCAAGTCAGTCATTGATTTTACCCAAATTCGATTTCTAAACTATAAACCCATTTATTTCTATTAACTAGCATCCCCCGAGGCAACCCTAAACAGGTGTGCAATCATGCGAAAAAGTGGACTAGGGATTGGTTGACACTTCACTCATGACTGACAACCAGCATCCGATAGTTTGACGTTTTTTTTTGTTTTACTCTAAATTGTCAACAATGGACCTTAGACCCTCATAATAAGAACGATTTATGTAACAGATATAATGTTAAATGAAAACCGGCGCACGTGGCTAGACCCCTCTAACTAACACGACTAGAAAAAACAGTGACATAATCAGTGAACTGTATAGTTTTGTAGCATTGGGTGGTTTAGGAAGATATTAAACAATAAAACGAACCATCATTGTCATTTATCACTCTTATCTTGATCTAGTTTTAAAGTTTGGTTGCATTGAAGACAATATATAAAAAACCAAACGGTTTGATAACTAATGATGGCTCATTATTCATTAGTCTTCTAATCTCGTCTTTTAAAATTAATCCACATTTTTCATTACAACAACCGAAGCCTGTTAAAATAATGCAGCTACAAAATATTAAATATACCACTGATATAATGAATAACCATAGTTAAAGGCTGATATGAAAACATCAGTCTTTAACGGTCCACTGCTGAACACAAGCCTCCCTCTTAGGGGGTTTTCCCAGTAGTTGCCACGCTTGGCAGGCGAATTGGCAATCGCAGTTAGGCTTTGGAGATGTTTTAAGAGGGACGCTGCTGCCCATCCCTCGCCCTCCCTTAAGTCGCCTCTTACGACACCCATGGAAAAGGAAGGAGTGGCCTATTCTATGCCGGGACCACACGGTCGACCACTAAACCATTGATAATACAAAGCCTGGCGTTATGGATAAAAGAGAAATTTTATTTCCATCCGATACCACGATTGTAGCTATAAATATAACTCAGAAAGGTAAAATCTATGGCAGCCGAATAACACGAGAAAACATAAAAAGATGATAATAAATTAGTAGAGTTGTTACTTGCACTGGCAATAAAGCGAACCGACCGCGTCCATTTATAAAAGGTCCCCGCTAAGCAAATAAGTAATACAAACAAACAAACTAAACATATCCTAATATATTGCGGTCACACACAATAGATACATGTAACAATACTGCAGAGGACTATTAGTGGGGACGAGAAAGGAAAGGGTTTTGTAGAATTTGATCTAAAATAGCAAACAATACGTTACACTGGAAATATATATTAGCATTACTAATGTTACAATCATTATGAAACTAAATTCGTTATTTGTTGAGGTCCATAAAGTCAAATATAATTTGTAATTGAATGAAGCATAGGATATGAGCTTTGTTCCAATAGATACAAACTCATTTACCTCCAAAACATTAACTATTTTAGTTTTAAACTTGAATTCCGAATAAATCCAATACTATATGATTTTGCAAACTTTTTTATAAACACATAAATCTCAATAATGAGTATTAAATTCAGAAGTAATATGATTTTAAAAATATATAACGATTGATTTTATTACAACATGCAAATTATGATTTTAATACAGTCTGTAAAATATTCATCTAACTACGGATATTAATAGAAGCAATTGTTTGAAGATAAAACCCCAATATAAATACTCGACGCGTGCACGTATTTACTAAATAAACTTTGTGTCAGAACTCCCCTAAATTTCAAACCATGATCGCCTGACTTAGTACTTATAAACATTTCTCTCAAATATTTAACGCCCTGTCTCATTAAGTTTAGCTACATCACTAAATAATAATAATATGAATATAATTTCTTGAAAGCATCAAACTTAATGATCAAAACTCCAAAGGAAAGGTATATCCTTGTGTTTAAGACTTGTGCTGTATGAATATCGTTTTGGATGAATGGTCTCACACTAATAATCATTAATTTTATTACGATGATGATCGAAGCAGTAATATTAAAATGGTTAACATCAATTTAAATTACTAAAGAGCTTGTGCAAGTATCAATTTTTACCAGTTTAGTTCTGGAATAGAAAAACAAGATTATAATCAATAATACAATTATAAATATCTTCTAAAAACATGAGATATAAAATGAACACGATGTTATCAATGATCTGATAAGGCATTTGCTTATATAAATTTCTGACTATGCAAAAGAGTTTTTATGGCTCCATTTCATTTTTATTTATGATATATTTCTACATAATTGCAAGCAAAAGTCCACAATTGAACTCATAAAAACAGTTATTTCGAAATAGAACAGACTTTAATAGGAGATATATATTTGCTCAAGATTTGCTAGAAGAGAACTCTTACAGAGTTAAGCTCGCCTTTTGTACATCTTCATTTAATATAAATTATAACAATGTAATTTTTGTATACAATAAAGTATAAATATAACTGTTTATATATAACTCCTCTCCATCCAAAGGGTGCCTGGAAGAGATCGCTTTTAGCGATAAGGTCGCCCATTGTTTTCTCATTGTATTATTTCTTATAATTGTTTATAACTATAATAAGTTTACTATTGTAATCTTTTGGAGGAAACAATAAAGAGCATCTATCTATCTATCTATCCATTTAAGAGCTGCGCTCATGTCGGTGGAGCTCTTGCCACTCACTACGATTTTCAGCGAGTCTCTTCACCTCTTGATACGACACGACACCAACTCCTTCCTTGATCTGCCTGATGTAACTATGTCTCGGT